TTTTTTGGTTTTTCGAGACAGGGTTTCGAGACAGGCTTTGGAGCCTGTCCTGGAACTCCCTTTGTAGACCAGGCTGGCCTCGAACTCACAGAGATCCGCCTGCCTCTGCCTCCCGAGTGCTGGGATTAAAGGCGTGTGCCACCACCGCCTGGCTGTGATTTGATTTTTTATTAAGAATACTTTTAAAGAAAAACTATTTACTACCCTAATTTGTGCTGATACATCAAAAGAAAATTATTATTTACTATGAGTGTACTTTATATTTGGTACTATAATTAGGTAAGAAAACAAATTACACTGTGTTAAGATTTCTCTTTCATTTTGTACTGGATAATTCTTTGCTGAGTTGGGAGGTACAATTCTGCACTTTCTAGAATATTTGGAAGTGTCCAGCCCCTACTCACCAACTGCCAGTGATATCACCTAGTTTTAAGAGTCACAGAAGTCTTCCTGGGGCTGGGAATGTAACTTAATGGTGAAGCATTTGCCTAATGTGTGTCACGACCCAGGATTTGCACACACACACACACACACACACACACACACACACACACACACACACACACACGCACACCTTCTCCAGGCATTACTCAATGTCCAGAGTCAGAGGTGGGCAAAGTCACGTTCAGATGAGAATTACTGCACCATAGGAATTACAGATATAAAAGTAAAATTGCTTAAAGTGTAATAACCATAATTTCTGTTCAGAAACTAAAATTCCTCCATCTGTAACCTTCTAGACTCACTCTTCAGAGCCAGGCCAAACTTTAGGTTTGGACGTTTTTCTGTGAAGAGTAGATTTTATATGTTAACTCCTTCTATGGTATATCGTATTGTTAACTCCTGGGCTACTGCATTGGCGAATATGGCAGCCAGGAGTTTGTGTAACTAATTTTATTAAAAATAAACCTTCACTTATCAGGCACATTAGCTGATTTCATGGAATCAGTAACAAATTCCTAATGACTGACATGTTAGCACAAACAGAAACGTCATCTCAGGACGCTGTTTCTCAGCGCTGCTTAAGAAAACCCTGCTGACCTATGGCTGAGTTTCTTCTATGAGCAAAAGTTCTTTTGTTTTTGTTTTTTTCAGTATTCTGAATAAAACTGAACTTTTGGGTTCTCTGTGGAAAGTGGCATTTTGGGCTTTCCCTCTTTCTGTAAAGTGATTTCTGCCTAGTTCATTGTCCAGTTAACTTCAGTGAGCCTTTGAAAGTTGGCATTGTAAATAAAACAACTTATGAGAAGTATTCTGAAATAGAAAAAAAAAAAAAAAAGAAAACCCTGCTGGGAATGGTGGCGCCTTTAATCCCAGCACTTAGAAGGCACAAGCAGGGGGATCTCTGAGAGTTCAAGGGCAACTTGGTTGCAAGTGCCAGGACTGCATAGAGACTACTGTTCCTCTCCCCCCCCCCCAATAAATAAAAATAAGAATCTTCCTGAAGACTGTCAATTGATCTGCCAGGCATGGAGGCACACCCTCTTAATCCCACCCAATGGGGACCGAGGAAGGTAAATAAATTCAAGGCCACTGTGGCAACTCAGCAAGAGCCTGTCTTAAAACAAACTGTAAAGGCTCCAGGGAGGATATAGCTTCGTGGTAGGACCCTTGCCTGGTATACACAAGGCCCCGAGTACCTGAAAAAATATTTTTTTTTCTTCAGCTGAAGATTTAAAGCCATTTCTTTACTTTCTAGAATTGGCCTGGAATCCTTGAATCACAAATGAACTACAAAGACCTAGAAATATTTAAAATTACATACTGGAGAAGTGGTTCAGTGGTTAGGAGCAATGGCTGCTCTTCCAGAGGACCCAGGTTCAATTCCCAGCACCCACATGGCAGATCACAACTGTTTGTAATTCCAGTTCCAGAGGATCTGACACCCTAACACAGACATACACGCAGGCAAAACACCAATGCATATAAAATAAATAAATCTTAAAAAAATTAGTTGCTAAATTATATGTATACATTTTACTGAAAGTCTATTGCTTTCACAGATTCTCAAAGGGGTCGGTGACTCCATAAGAAGGTAAATATCGCCTGCTTTAAGAATTATTTGGGGGCCAGAGAGATGGCTTAGTGGTTAAGAGCACTGACTGTGCTTCCAGAGGACTCAGGTTCAATTCTCAGCACCCACATGGCAGCTTACAACTGTCTGTAACTCCAGTTCCAAGGGATCTGACACCCTCACACCAATGCACATAAAATTAAATAAATGAATCCTTTAATCCCAGCACTCAGGAGGCAGAGGCAGGTGGATCTCCATGAATTCAAGGCTAGCCTGGTCTGCAAGCACTAGTTCCAGGACAGGCCCCAAAGCTACAGAGAAACCCTATCATGAAAAACCAATAAGTAAACAAATAAATAAATAATAATTACTTGGAGGATCCCCAGGGTGGTGGCACACACCTTTAGTCCCAGCACTCATGAGACAAAGGCAGGTGGGTCTTCTGTGAGTTCTAGGTCAGCCTGGTCTACATAGCAAGTTCCACTACAGCCAGAGATACATAGAGAGACCCTGTTTCAAAAACTACAAAAGAATTCTTTGGAGGGTTGACAAGATGACTCAGTTGTCAGATTCACTTACCATCAAGCTTGGCAATCTGAGTTTGGACCCTAGAACCCACATGGTGAAAGAAAAGAACCAATTCCTACAAGGTGTCCTCTGACCTCTACGTTCATTTGTACATGGTCATACACACACACACACACACACAAAATAAATAAATAAATAAATATTTCTGAGAATTAAGAATTATTTAGCTTCCATTCTAGTAGCCACTATTGCTAAGAAAAATTAATAAATGAAGAAAAATGAATAAATTTAAAATGCTTAATAAAAAAGAAAAGTAGTTGGCATTGAAAGATCAGTCATTATTAGAACGATTATTAGCAATGTCATATTTAAAACGTCCTAGTATCACATTGCTCGTGACACAGATTTTTCTGCCAGCTCAGAACTGAGATTTTTTTTTATAGTAGTGAACAACCTGGGTAAATATTTTCCTGAAATTTCTGTAACCTTCATTTTTCTTGTTGGGAACAGGTCTGAAGGTTGAAGTGACTCATTGTGGAACAATGAGACGGAAATACCGTGTTTGTAATGTAACAAGAAGGCCCGCCAGCCATCAAACGTAAGAAAAGCTGGTGTTTCCCACACAGCCATATGAGGCAGCTCACTCTAAGGGGTGGGTAGTTTGCTAGCTCACAAGAAGATAAGGGTTGCTCATGTCGGCTCTTCTTTTTTCCAGCTTTCCTTTGCAGTTAGAAAACGGCCAGACTGTGGAGAGAACGGTAGCACAGTATTTCAGAGAAAAGTACTCTCTTCAGCTGAAGTACCCCCACCTTCCCTGTCTGCAAGTGGGGCAGGAGCAGAAGCATACATACCTGCCGCTGGAAGTAATGTCTTTAACTGCTTATGGCTACTTCTGTTTGTCCTCTCTGTGTGTGTGTGCACACGTGAGTGTGTGCGTGCACACGTGTGGGTGTGCGCGTGGGTGTGCACAAGTGCATGCGCCGTGAGTGAGTGTGTGTGTGTGTGCATGCATAGGCCAGAGGAGGACATCAAGAGCCTTCCCGTATTGCAATCCATCTAGTTGTTGAGACAAGGTCTCTCAGTGAATCAGGAACTTACTATTTGAGCTGGGCTCCTCTAGAACCCTCCAGGATCCTGTTCCCCTTCTTCTTCCCGCACCTCTGGGGTTATAGGCGTGCACCACCATGCCTAGCTGTTTACATTAGTGCTAGGGATCTGAACTCGGTCCCTATGCAGCAAGCATTTGACCCACAGACCTGGCTCTGTTCACCACTCTTCTAGGGTCTTCTATGGCCTGTGATGTCTCTGAGTCTCACATTTATTTGGAATTTGAACAATTTTTAATTCTGATTTTTTTTCTAAAATTTCATTAAATAAAGTAGCATGTATCTTAGAGTGCCTGTTGCTGCGATGAAACATCACAACTGGCAGCAGCTTGTAGAGGCAAGGGTTTGTTTGGCTTACACCTTCACATGGCTGTTCATCATCAAAGGGAGTCAAGACAGGATGTCAAGGATCCTGGAGGCTGGAGCAGATGCAGAGACCATGGAGGAGTGCTGCTTACTGGCTTGCTCCCTGTGGCTTGCTCAGACTGCTTTCTTAATAGAACACTGGATCACCAGCCCAAGGATGGCACCACCCACAACGGACTGGGTGCCCCCTCGTCAATCACTAATTAAGAAAATGCCTTACAGCTCTGCCTACAGCCTGATCTTATGGAGGCATTTTCCTAATGGAGGTTCCTTCCCCTGCGATGACTCTAGCTTGTGTAAAGTTGACATGAAACTAGCCAGCACAGTATGGAGAAAGCTCACCTATAGTTCCACCAGTTAGCGGTTTTCTGTGCTTCTTTCAGTCTTTTTTTTTTTAAGATTTATTTACTTATTATCTATACAGTGTTCTGTTTGCACACCAGAAGAGGGCATCAGATCTCATTACAAATGGTTGTAAGTCATCATGTGGTTGCTGGGAATTGAACTCAGGACCTCTGGAAGAGCAATCAGTGCTCTTAACCTCTGAGCCATCTGTCTAGCCCCTTCTTTTAATCTTTTGATCCTTTTGTGTACCTTTTACCTAATTATAATTGCGTGATCATGTGTAGTTTGTTCTTTATTCTTTTATTTAACATGAGAGTAAAAGAAATGGTTTAATAAAGTAGATTTTAAAATTATATTTAACATGATTGGCATTGTATGAATTGTTCTATTTCTAGGTCTGTAATATTGTGGCTGGGCAACGATGTATCAAGAAACTAACCGACAATCAGACTTCTACTATGATTAAGGCAACAGCAAGATCTGCACCAGATAGACAAGAGGAAATTAGCAGATTGGTTAGTACTCTAGAAATAGGAATTTAAAGTGTATTAGGGTGAGCTACTCAAAAACCATGTCCTTACCAGCTGATGCCATATTGCCATTTTATGAAGTGACAGGATTAAAAGGGATCATGGAGCAGGTGTGGTGGCTCCTAGGACTTGGGAGGCAGAGGCAGGCCTCTGTGAGTTAGTTTGTGACCAGCCTAGTCTACAGAGCTACTTCCAGGACAGCCAGAACTACACAGTGAGACCCTGTCTCAAGAAGAAGACAGAGAGGGGTATCATGGTGGTATCTATGGTGTGAGAGAGGGGCAGACATTAGTAAGCTGTATGAGAGGGTTTGATTCTTCTAATTTAACTCTAGAACATTTAAATCTAGGGAACAAACTCACCAGAACTAATGTTTTAATATAGTTAACTGAACCCTCACTTAAAAGAAGGGCAAAGATGAATACATCAAAGTATTATAATGAGAAATACTCGCATTATAATAGTAGCAGTCAGTCTAGAATTTCTTAGCTACTAGTGTCAGGCTGACAACTATATACCTCATGCCTATAATCCCAGCTCTCAGGAGGCTGAGGCAGGGGAATCATCCTAAATTTTGGGCCTTTCTGGACTACATAGACAACCTTATCTACAAACAAACAAACAACTGGACTTCGTAATCATAGCACTTGGGAGGCTGAGGCAGGAGAATTGCCATGAGTTTGAGGCTAACCCAGCCTAGACTACAGAGTAAGAACTTGCTTCAATAATAAACGGGTTTCAATAATGCAGGGCTCCCCATGTCTTACAGAAGAGAGGGACAAGATGCTAGTGTCACTTTGTCACTGATAAACTTCACATTCCTACGCCACAGGATTTTACAAGGCTCATGGCCAAAAAAACCTATCTGCTGCTCTAGACCCCTCAACTGGTGTTCCAGGAAGAGGAACCATCTTGCTGATATATAATGGCTAGAATAACCTCCCGAACAATGTCACATTCTACCAGAATGGAAATGCAAGTTTTTATTTACATTGGCAACTTCTTTATCCTGAAAGCAAACCACAGTGAATACTACTACAAAAGAAATAGGAGGCTGGGAATGGTAGAGCATGCTTTAATCCCAGCACTTTGGAGATCGAGACAAGGGGATCTCTGTGCATTCAAGGCTAACCTAGTCTATATAGCAAGCTCCAGGACAGCCAGAGCTGCACAGAGAAACCCTGTCTCCATATCTTAATTAACTTTTTCATTGCTGTGACCACAACAACTCCTAAAGGAAAGCCATTTAATTGGGTGGCTTACATTTTCAGAGGTGTAATCCATTATTATCATGGTGCAGCATAGGGGTGTGCAGGCAGATGTGGTGCTGGAGCTGAAATTCCTCCATCTTGATAGGCAGGCAACAGGAGGTAGTCTGTCTCACTGGGATGGCTTGAGCATATATGAGACCTCAAAGCCCACTTCCTCCAACAGTGGCACACTTCCTCCAACAAGACCACAGCTACTCCAGAAGGCAACACCTCCTAATAGTGCCACTTCCTATGGGGGCCATTTTCTTTCAATCCGCCATACCAAAAATAAGGAAAGAAGGAAAAAGAAATGCAGAGAAGACAGCCTGGTCATTGCTGTCTAAATTCTCCCAGGAAACCCTGAGCACAGAGAAATGAGAGAGATACTCCTGAGGAATTAAGTACAGCATACACTCTGGGTGCTCAGAAAGACTTCAGGCTTTTGTGTGGACAAGCAGCAGCTTGTCCAATCCCAGTGATCCTGAGGAAACTGTCCAAACCAAGGCTGGGAATACAATCACCTCTGCATTTCTCAAGCACTCGAGAGCTCTGGGAAAAGAGACAGAGCCCATTATCAGAACCACATTTAGTCTCACTTATCTTCCTCTGGAATGGGGATACTCAGAAGAGCAAAGGTCTAGCGTCTTCTGTGCTACAGAACTAAGGAGGGCTTCTGGAGTTATCTTCATAAGCCCTGAAGCCAACAGACAGCGCAGTCCCAGCTGAATAACTGCTGATTCATTCTGGGACTTAACCACTTCCCAATTCCAGGCTCCTGTTATGTTTTCACACAGCAGATAAAATTAATAAGATTACTATCATTAACAGTTTGCAGCAACTAGAAAATGCTTGTTACACATTACATGAAAATTATATTAGTATATAGAACCTTGGAAATTATGAGGTAGACTTGTATCAACATCTTTAAAATGATGTTTCAGGGTAATAGAATTATAAGGGACTTTTATTTTCTTTCTTTCTGGCTGTCTTGGAACTCACTCTGTAAACCAGGCTATCCTTCAACTCAGAGATTCACCTGCCTCTTCATCCTAGTGCTGGGATTGAAGGTGTGTGCCACCTGACTTCTTTTCTTTTTTTAATCCTATTTATTTATGTTTTATGAGTGTTCTGCATGTATACTTGCATGCCAGAAGAGGGCATCAGATCCTATAATAGATGGTCGGGAACCACGATGTGGGTGCTAGGAATTTAACTCAGGACCTCTGTAAGAGCAGCCAGTGCTCTTAACCCCTGAGCCATCTCTCTGGCCCCTTTTTTTTCTTTCTTATTTTTCTTTTTTTAATTGTGATTTATTTTTGTGTGCATGTGTATGTGTGTGAGCATGCGTGTGCCACGGCACAGCTGGGAAGGTCTGAGCACAACTTGCTGGAGTCATCTCTCTTCTTCCTTCATGGGGGCCCTGGGGAGCAGGTGTTGAACTCGGGTCATCAAGCTTGGGGCAGGCACTGTGCCCACCAAGCCATCTTCTTTCCTATTTTTCTATGAAGATCCTGCATTACTTTTATGATAAAATATTTTACAGTTAAAATATACAATAATACCTGTTTATTTCTAAAAGCTAAATAGAAGTAAATAAATAGATTGAGGCTGGAGAGACGGCACGGTAGTTAAGAGCACGTGCTGCTTTGGGAGAGGGCATGCGTCAGGAGGCTCACAGGTGTCTGTGGTTCTAGTATAGGAAATCTACCACTGTCTCCTGGACTGCATGGGCACCCGCCTACACACTGAGCATACACACACACACATACACACACACACAAATGAAAATATTTTTTAAATTAACTGATAGAATACTCAAAATGGGGTGAAGTTTTTTGTTTTGTTTTGTTTTTAAGGAATACCTGGATCTTGTGTTACTCTCCCCTGAATATCATTTAAACTGTCTAATCAAACAAGGGGGAATCAATAAATATTAATATATTTCCCAAAACAATTGACTAGCACTTTCAGAAGCTTTTTGGGGGGGTTGGTTGGTTTGTTTGTTTGTTTGTCAAGACAGAGTCTCTCTATGTAACAGCCCTGGCTGTCCTAGAACTCACACTGTAGATCAGGCTGGCCTCAAACTCACAGAGATCCACCTACCTCTGCCTCCCAAGTGCTGGGATTAAAGTCATGCAACACCACACCTAGCATTTGCTCAAGTTTTAATACTACTTTACATATTTTGTTTTTTTTTAAGTTTCTGTTGTTTTATTAACCAAAAATTGAAAATAGTTTGATGATTATTTGTCAAATGCACAGTTGAGGGACTAAGTGTGGCCTAGCACACAAAAGGCCATGGTTTCAATCCCCAGCATCATATGGAACTATTGTGGTAGCACATACCTGCAGTCTCAGTACTCAGGAAGCAGAAACGAAGATTAGTTCATGACCAGTTTCAGCCATATAACAAGTTTGAGTTTAAGATCAGCCTTAGCTACATAAGAGTGAAAGGCAAACATTGTATCTTATTGCTGTGATGAAACACTATGACCAAAGGCAACTTGAGAGGGGCAAAGAGTTTATTTCATATCATTGTCCATCATCAAAGGAGTCAGGATAGGAACTCAAACCTGTGTGCAGGAACCTATGCAGAGGCCATGGCGGGGTGCTGCCTACTGACTTGCTCCCTATAGCTTGCTCAGCCTGCTTTCTTATAGAACCCAGGACCACCAGGGATGGCACCACCCACAACAGGCTGAGCCCTCCTTCATCAATCACTAAGAAAATGCCCTATAGCCCAATCTTATAGAAGTAATTGCGATTCCCTCCTTTCAGATAACTCTAGCTTATGTCAAGTTGGCAGAAACCTATCCAGCACACCCCATTCCTAGAGACCTTACAGATACTGTTCCATGTGCTTCAGTAGATGGCAGAGAGGAGAGAGGCTACGTCTGCGCTCAGTGTTCTGAACTGTGAACATCTGAGGGACTAGCAGCCTGACACTCACTGAAGCCCCCTGTGGGACCACCTCTATCCTAGTTGCTGGCTGGCCCGGGGCATCCGATGGTCTTGCACATGCTCACTGAGGTAGAAGGGAGGCTGATGTGCACAGAGGGGGTTTCAGGAAGATGAGTGGCTAAAGCTGCTCATCGTGTGAGCCTTGGGCAGAATGCCCAGCTGTGCCAGGACAGAGCAGATACACCTCCAAGTCATGGGCTCACAGGTGTGCCCACTGTTACCTGACCAAGAACCTGCTGAACCCCCTACACAGGCTCCTGTTTGGGGATCCAGGTTCTGGGATGTTCCACACTTCTGATTCTAGAAGCCCAAGTCTTAAATTGTGAGCTATATCTTTCCAAAATGAGTGTAGTAAGGACTGACTGACAGGCCAGTGGTAGTGGTACGAGGTGCATGGAAGGATCTCCAAGATTCCATTCAAAAGTTCCCATCTGCCCAACTGCATGTGGTCTTAGCTATAATAATTACATAAGAGGGGGAAACTGGCTCCAGATGCTATAGCAAATGTCCCAAATAAATGTAATCATTCTCAAAAAAACAAACAAATCAAAACAGATCAGAAATTCTCTCAGGACTGGAGAGATGGCCCCGCGGTTAATCACTTGCTGATGTTTTAGAGGATTAGGTTTGTTTCCCAGCACCCACGGGGTGGCTCATAATTGCCTGTAAATCCAGTTCCAGGGATCTGCCCCTGCAGACGACAAGCCTGCACAGAATGCTCATATATCAGCCATTCATGCAGACACAAAAAAGTCTCCACTTCGTAAGCTAACAAAATGCTCCTTTGCCTTATAATTCTATAAAAGGTGAAGGGTAGTTGTTACATCTTGTCTAGTTAGGAAAATAAAGGGTGAGTCTCACCCTAGATTTTTGTCTAATTGTATTATAATACATTGTTAAAAGTCTTCTAAAGCTTGAAAGAGACAGTGACACCTCACCTCTGTCTATAAAAATTGTAACTAACAATTCTAACTCATTCATTACAGCTCAACTGTTCAGTATCATCGAGTTGTTAAAAGAACAGGCTTGGGTTTGAAGTCTTGTTTCCTCTCACTGTTATTGGGTGTCATTTATAGCACCTAGTTATTTAACCTGACTACCATTATTTGTGTCTCTGTAAAATACAGATTATAAAAGATCTATGCTGGCTGGAGAGATGGCTCGGTGGTTAAGAACGCTGACTGCTCTTCCAGAGATCCCAAGTTCAATTCCCAGCAACCACGTGGTGACTCATAATCATCTAAAATAGAATCTGATGCCTTTTACTGGCATTCAGAGCACTCATACATAAAAGTATAAATGTAATAATAACAATAATAATAATAAAAGATCTATGTGGCTGGGCAGTGGTGGCATGTCCACCTTTAATCCCAGCATTCAGGAAGCAGAGGTAGGTGGATCTCTGAGCTCGAGTCCAGGCTGGTCTACATAGTTAATTTCAGGGCAGCCAAGGCTACACAGAAAAACCCTGTCTTGGGGAAGGGGGGAAAAAGCACACACACACACACACACAAAAAAAAAAAAAAAAAACAAGAAAGGGGGCTGGAGAGATGGCTCAGTGGTTAAGAGCATTGCCTGCTCTTCCAAAGGTCCTGAGTTCAATTCCCGGCAACCACATGGTGGCTCACAACCATCTGTAATGGGGTCTGGTGCCCTCTTCTGGCCTGCAGGCATACACACAGACAGAATATTGTATACATAATAAATAAATAAATATAAAAAACCCAAGAAAATAAAAATAAAGCAAAAAATCTAAAAACTATATGTATCATAAGGCAGTTGTGAAAAAATGGTTAGGCACTTATCACCAAGCCTGCCATATAGTTAGTCTTCATAAATGCTATTTGGTCTTCTTTACACAGAGACACTAGCAGACACCAAAAGTGGTTGACAGACTTGAAGAAAAAAACTCATTACTGCCTAATTTAGAAAGTGTTTTTTTCTACTTATTGTAGGAAGATTGTGTTTAAGTATTTAGATTATATAGTTTTCTAAATACACTTTTTACCCAGACTTGACACTGCCTTCTCTTTGTAAATTGTCTTGAGGACAAGTAAGTATGCTTTGAAAAATAGCTAATAGCATACCTTAGAGTAAGATACAACACTGGACAACCACCTATTCTTTCTTTGAATATATGCATGAATATGTTATGTAAAATTTGTAATCTCTCAAAAAACAAAAAAATAACCTATAACTGATGCTCACTTTCTTTTTTTTTAAAGATTTATTTATTTATTATGTATACAACATTCTGCCTTGATGTATGCCCACACGCCAGAGGAGGGCGCCAGATCTCAGTACAGATGGTTGTGAGCCACCATGTGGTTGCTGGGAATTGAACTCAGGACCTCTGGAAGAGCAGTCAGTGCTCTTAACCTCTGAGCCATCTCTCCAGCCCTGATGCTGACTTTCTATCTGTTTTTATTTTTGACTAATTAAACTGTGCCCATCCAATCATAGAGGATTTTTGGTTTGGGTTTTGGTTTGGTTTGGGTTTTTTATTTTTTTTTTTGTTTTGTTTTATTTTGTTTTTCAAGACAAGGTTTCTCTTTGTATCCCTGGCTGTCCTGGAACTAGCCCTGTAGACCAAGCTGGCCTCCAACTCACAGAAATCTGCCTGCCTCTGCCTCCTGAGTGCTAGAATTAAAGAAGTGCACCACCACTGCCTGGCCAATCAGAGGGTCTATCCTATTTTAGATAGGTGTTTTTTTATCTCCTGAAATAGCTTAATTATTTAAAATGATCATTTTCATGGGTCAAATAGTTTTTTTTAATATTTATTTATTTATCATGTATACAATATTCTGTGTGTATGCCTGCCGGCCAGAAGAGGGCACCAGACCCCATTACAGATGATTGTGAGCCACCATGTGGTTGCTGGGAATTGAACTGAGGACCTTTGGAAGAGCAGGCAATGCTCTTAACCTCTGAGCCATCTCTCCAGCCTGGGTCAAATAGTTAAGTGTATTATTCAACCTAATATATACATTTCAGTTTTGAATAATTACCAAGTTCATAGACTTCCCACATTCCCTGACTCACCGTCTGCAGGATCGTATTCTCTGCTTTAGAGTCAGGGCTCCATTGGTTCTAATGACAAAGTGTATGGTTGCCATAGTGAAATAAAAAGTGGAGGTCCTAGCAAGTAAGGCAAGCGGGTCAGGGACAGACTGAGAATAATGACAAACCTTTTCTGTTGTTAGGTAAGAAGTGCAAATTATGAAACAGATCCATTCGTTCAGGAGTTCCAATTTAAAGTCCGGGATGAAATGGCCCACGTAACGGGACGTGTACTTCCGGCACCTATGCTGCAGTATGGAGGACGGGTAAAGTCTAGCAGCGGCGTTTTAACCATGCATGTATAATTTGCTCAGTATGGGGAGAATGCTCTCTAAGTCTTGAACCTATTATTTTATTTTATTGTTCCAACAATACGTTAGGTGTGTTACTTCTTCACTTGAGTTGGGCATAATTTTTTACATTTACTTATTTATTGTGGGGGGTGGCGCACATGTGGAAGTCAGGGTGATTGAGGAGGTTGGGTCCTCTCCTTCCACTGTATGAGTTCTTGTGTGTACCAGATATGTCAAACGCAGGTCATCAGGCTTGGGGGCCACAGCTGCCTTTACTTGCTGAACTACCTTGCTGGCCTCTTAGATTTTAACAGTATAAATAATATCGATTTAGAAAAATCAACTTCACATAGAGTATTAAGGATGTTAGCAGTTCAGCGATTTGAAACGCTCACTTGAGCTCACTGGGATGCATTGTCTGGTAAAGTTCTTGTCTTTCTGTTGTGTTATTTGTCTTACAGAACCGGACAGTGGCAACACCGAGCCACGGCGTGTGGGACATGCGAGGAAAACAGTTCCATACAGGAGTTGAAATCAAAATGTGGGCCATAGCTTGTTTTGCCACGCAGAGGCAGTGCAGAGAGGAGATCCTGAAGTAAGCTGCCACCTTGGTTTGCTCTGGAGACCTTTGGTGTCTGGAATTTAAAAAAAAATTAATTTATATTTTTTGGTGGTACAGGGATGAACCCAGAGCCTTGTGTATCCAATGGGCTGTACTGGGGGTGAACCCAGAGCCTTGTGTATCCAATGGGCTGTACTGGGGGTGAACCCAGAGCCTTGTATATCCAATGGGCTTTATCGGGGGTGAACCCAGAGCCTTGTGTATCCAATGGGCTATACTGCTGAACTCCACCCCTCGCCCTGAGTTCCAACTTTAAATTATTCATCTCATGTTCTAACCAATGTCGCCTCTGTATGGAGATATTTAACCAGTAAACTTTTAAAACTGTTTCTTTCATCCGGCTGGGATCACCTATCATTCCAGTTACATGGGAGGCTGAGGCAGGAGAATCATAAGCTAGCAAGACCCAGTCTTAAAAATAGTGTGTGTGTGGGGGGGTGTGCATTGTTTGTGCATGTAGAGGCCAGAGGTTAGCCAAGATGTCATTCGTCAGGCATTATCTACTTCCGTTTTGACCAGGGCCTCTCTGACCTAGAACTCACTGGATTATTTAAGTGAAAAGACAAAACTTGATAAGGAAAGGATAAGTTCATGCTGAAGTTTCAAAAATATATATTAAAAATATATATATACGTTAAGAATGAGTATTTTTATTCTTGAAATTATAAGGCCTGGTGCTGTGGCGCACACCTTTAATCCCAACACTCAGGAAGCAAAGGCAGGTGGATCTCAGAGTTCAAGGCCAGCCTGGTCTATATAGCAAGTTCCAGGACAACCAGGACTACACAGAAAAACCCTGTTTCAAAAAAAAAAAAGGAAAAAAAAGAAAGAAATTACAACGAAATAGATTTGTGTAAATTTATTTGTTATACTTGAGACTTCAAAATTATGCCCATTGGTTAAGATCAAAAATGTATTAAATTATAGGGTCTAGTAACATCCTCAGTTCCAATGGGGATCTTGTATGTGCGTATATATGTGTATACATGTATTAGGTGCCCGTATGCAGATATGTATGTACATGTTGATGCCAGACGTTGATTTTAGGAGTCTCCCTCAATTGCCTTCTAACCTTCTTGAATCTGGAATTCATTAATTCAGTTAGACTGGCTGTCCATCAGACCTCAGGGAACCTCCCTTCTTTGCTTCCCCAGTGCCAACAGTACAGACATGCACAACAAAGCTTTTACCAACCAGGCTTTCTCCTCAACCCCACTAGGGACTGTGCATAGCCACAAAGGATTGAGGGAGGTTTCTACAGGTGTCTGGTCCCTCCGTTGCCTTTAACATTAGTAATCTGGTAACCTTTTGCATATGGAACAGGCATACAAAATAGTTTATGCTTCATCCTCCCTCCCTCCCTCCCTCCCTCCCTCCCTCCCTCCCTCCCTCCCTCCTTCCCTTCCTTTCCTGGAAGTCTTGGCTGTCCTGGATTTGCCTTGCAGAGCAGGCTGGCCTTGAACTCACTGCCTCTGCCTCCCAAGTGCTGAAATTAAGGGTGTGGGCCACCATGCCCAGCTTCCATTTCTTTCTTTAAACTTTTCATTATTATGTGGTCGGTTTGGAGCTGGAGATACAGTTCAGTGCAGCATAAACACACACAGATCATGGGCCCAATCCTTAATACTACACATACAAAAGATAAAGTATATTTAGTGGTTTTACCTTCTTTAGAGGTTTCACGGACCAGCTGCGGAAGATTTCCAAGGATGCGGGGATGCCCATCCAGGGTCAGCCTTGCTTCTGCAAATACGCGCAGGGAGCAGACAGCGTGGAGCCCATGTTCCGGCATCTCAAGAACACCTACTCAGGACTGCAGCTCATTATCGTCATCCTGCCCGGGAAGACGCCAGTGTATGGTAAGGACATTTTAAATCTGCATTTTTCAGGAGTGAGAGTTTGCCTGATTGCTAGCGCACTGGCCTAAGACGCACACAGACCTGGGTTTGATCTCAGCACTGCAACAACACAACTACTGCATTTCCCCCCTCTCCTGCTTAGCATTGCTTTCAGAATTAGATAGCCTAACATTTCCAAATGCTACTATATATATAATATATATATGTTAAAGATTTATTTATTTCTTATGTATACAACATTCTGCCTCCATGTATGCCCGCACGCCAGAGGAGGGCGCCAGATCTCAGTACAGATGGTTGTGAGCCACCATGTGGTTGCTGGGAATTGAACTCAGGACCTCTGGAAGAGCAGCCGGTGCTCTTAACCACTGAGCCATCTCTCCAGCTGCTAAAATATATTTATACCATTGTATTTAAAACCACATATTACCTTAATGCAAAGCCTGTAAACTAAATAGCACAGAAAGAGACTCTGAGAAGTGAATTTTAGTACCGAAAAGAGACATCACAAGCAATGGTTGAGGGAAGAATTGTGTGGTCAGAAAGCCTTGGGTAATTGAGTAGCAGGATGAGGTAGCAGGATCAAAGCACAGACTCTGGAGATAGACTCTCTGCTCAATGCTCAGATATTGCCCGTTGTACTTCCTCTCTGGTGTGGCTGTATAACTGTATAAGCTCTACTTTCTTCACCTGTGGAACTGAAATGCTTTCTTAGAATCACTTAGATTTACAGAAAAATTAGCAGTCTAGTGAGTTCCCGTGTGTCATCTGCCCTTTGCATAGTTTTTCCTACACAGCCATTAACCTTTTTCCTTAATGCGGGACATTTACTGAACCAGCAGTACCCATATTGTTAAAAGTTATTAATTGTGACCATTATTAATGCATTGCCCACAGTTTACATTAAAGTCCACAGCATAGGTCTGGCAGATATGTATCCATTATTACAGCACCATACAGAATAGTTTCACTATTCCTCCTCCCTCTCCCCGCCCCCCTCCTTTTTTTTCCTTCTGGTTTTTCGAGACAGGGTTTCTCTGTAGCTTTCAAGCCTGTCCTGGAACTAGCTCTTGTAGACCAGGCTGGCCTTGAACTCATGGAGGTCCACTGGCTTCTGCCTCCTGAGTGCTGAGATTAAAGGCATGTGCCACCACCACTTGGCCCTCCTTCAATTCTTGAAACCACTAATATTTTGTTTTGTTTTTACTATTTCTCTAGCTTTGCTTTTCCTATATTGTCATAAAGTGGAGTCATTTGTATGTAGTTGTATGGAGTTATCTTTCTCCCTTTTTTATATTGATTGGTTGGTTGGTTGGTTGGTTGGTTGGTTGGTTGGTTGGTTTTTTGAGACAGGGTTTCTCTGAGTAACCCTGGCTGTCCTGGACCTCGCTCTATAGACCAGGCTTGTCTCAACTCAGAGATATCTGCCTGCTTCTGCCTCCCCAAGTGTTGGGATGAAAGGTGTGCACCACCACTGCCCACCAGGCTATGCAGTCTTTCTAATATGCTTCTTTCACTTATCAACATACATGTACGGTTCCTTCACATTTTCTTAGGGAATGATAGGTTATTTATTTCTTGAATTAATATTTCCTGATGTGAATATAATACTATTTATTTGCATATTGAAAAATAGAATTGAAAGCCACAAGAATATTGTGACTACAAGTGCATTAAAGTAAGTGAGAAAATTACAGGAAAAGAAATAATAAAATGACGATAAGGGATTATATATGCTATTTTCTATAAATTTTTCCCTTATAATTTTTATAGTTATAATTTTTCCTTTCCTTCATCATAAAAATAGCCATAATTATGACAAATTGCTCAAACAAAAGACAGATTAACAGGGGAACAACAGTCTGTTTATTAGTGTGTGCAGTACATGTCATACAGGAGACAAGTGGTTCAAAGCGATGGTTTAGGAGTCTAGCTTATAATAAATCAAAGGGCAGTAAATTTTGGGAAATAACAACAGCCACAAAAATTAGGACACTAGCAGTTAGGATGTGGAAAGCACGACTAGAGGATAGTCTTCTCGAGCCACCTCACAGCCACCTCACAGCTGAGACAGACTGCATCTGATCCAGGCAGCAGTGGAGGAGGAGAAACAGATCGTTTATCTTTGAAAAGCCGCCTGCCTCTAAAAAATATTTGGCTCAGAGGTGGTGGCACACGCCTTTAATCCCAGCACTCAGAAGGCAGAGGCAGGTAGATCTCTGTGAGTTCAAGGCCATCCTGGTCTACAAGAGCCAGGATAGGATCCAAAGCTACAGAGAAAACCTACCTTGAAAAACCAAAAAAAAAAAAAAAAAAAAAAAAAAANACAAAAAAAAAAAAAAAAAAAAAAAAAAAAAAAAAAAAAAAGGTTAGAGAGCTGGCTCACAAATTAAGAGCACTGGCTTAGGATCTGGGTTCAACTTCCAGCACCCATTGTGACTCTCAGCCATCTGTAACTCCAGTTCCATGGGATAGGATGCCCTTCTTCTGGCCTTCTCAAGCATCAGACACATAAGTGGTACACAGATGTGTAAGCAAAACAGCACACACATAATTTTTCTTAATTAAAAATTTTTATTTTATTTTAAATCCTGTGATGTATGAGTGTCTGTGTGGGTGTATTCATGTAAGTACTGGTCTCCATGGAGTCCAGAGGTGTACAGTTTCCTGGAGCTGAACTTAGAGTTGTCGCAAGCCTCTTGATGGGAATGGTAGAACCCAGACTCACGTTCTCTGTAAGACTAGTTCTAGTTCTTAGCTACAGAGTTCCTCTGCATCTTTTTAAATATTGTACTTTAATTTACTCTTTCATAATTTAATACATGCATACAGTATATTCCAGATCCTCCTGGAGTCACCCCCTTCTTTTGCATCTTTATTATCTTCAACTTACTGATCCTTTAAAATTGAGAGAAGTCTTTTCTCTTTTCCTTCAGTTTTAAAAATATACTTTTCTGGGTTGTCAAGGTAGCTCAGCAGGTAGACGCACTTGCCATGCAAGCCTAAATGTGATCCCTAGCACCCATGTAAAGTTGGCAGAGGAAAACCAACCCTCAGAGTTGTCCCCTGACCTCTACATGTGCACACATCACACACATTATACACGTGTTCATACACACAAGAGAGAGAGAGAGAGATAATGAAATAAAAACAGTGTAATTTTTTATTTTTTTCAAGACAGAGTTTCTCTGGTTATCCCTGGCTATCCTGGAACTTACTCTGTAGTCCAGGATGGCCTCACACTCAGAGATCCACCTGCCTCTGCCTCCTGAGTGCTGGGATTAAAGGTATGAGCCACTATGCCTGGCTAAAAGTATAAGCTTTTAGATATACTTTTCATATCAAAAAATAAGCCAATAGAAGAATTCTAAGTCAATGCTTAAAATTTCCATGCATTTTAATAGCATTGTTTCAGTATTGGTCTAATTTCAGGTGCCCTATAATATAACTTGGTATATTTAGGGTATCCTGCATAGCTTTATTGCCAGTGAGTGAATTCACTTTCAGGTGCCTCCTTTTCTGACTGGGTTACTTGCCTTTGTTCTATAGCGGAGGTGAAACGTGTAGGAGATACACTTTTGGGGATGGCTACACAGTGTGTGCAAGTCAAGAATGTAATAAAAACATCTCCTCAAACTCTCTCAAACTTGTGCCTAAAAATCAATGTTAAGCTTGGAGGAATCAATAATATTCTTGTACCTCATCAAAGGTAAGCTATTCTGTTTCACTATCTGTTTTTCTACGTAGGCCTAACTAACTGCTGTCAGATATTAGAAGTACCCTTAGTGACTGTCCTGTGAACTATATAGACGATTTAACAAGGGTAAGAGATTGCTGGAGCTGGAGACATAACTCATTGGTTAAACGCACGCCTTTAATTCCAGCCCTCGGGAGGCAGAGGCAGGCAGATCTCTGTGAGTTTGAGACCAGCCTGGTCTACAGAGTCCAGGGCAGCTATAATGAGATTCTGTCTTGTTAAGCAGGAGGCAAGCTCATAAATGAGGTGAAGAATTTAGCCAACATGTTCAAGAACTAAGAAATAGTCAATATCTCTTAAAACTATTTTTAACCTTTATTTTATATGAGTCTCTGTGCACATGTATGTGCAGTGCCTATGGAGGCCAAGGAGAGGTGTTGAGTCCCCCAGGAATGGAATTACAGGGAGTTTTGAGCCACCATGTGAGTGTTGAGCATTAAACTCCCGTTCTCTGGGTAAGCAACTGCTGCGCTATCTCTCAGCCCCAGGCTTTTCAATTTTAAAGGATGGACTTTTAAAATACAAGGCAATGATAGGACTTTATGATTATTAAATATATATTCAAATTTTATTCTTTGGGCCAGGAAATAGTAGACGCCTATAATCCCTGCCTAAAAGTGGAAAATAGACTGAAACTAAAAGTCAAAGGCTTGCTGATCCATTTTGTCCTTAAGTCTCATAGACTTAAAATCTAAGTAGATTTTTTTAGATTAATAAAATTTAATGATATACTATGAAGAAATATGCCATTTTGTCCTCATTACATAGAATATTATTATCAGTTGTCCTTTGCAACCCAATACCACTGTTTAAAACATGAAAGTTCTCACAAAACATCACAGAGATGTAACAGACTAGAGATTCATGAATTAAGAGTTTGCCAGGCCAGGTGTGGTAGCACATGCCATTAATCAACAGGACTTGGGACGCAGAGACAGGCAGATCTGAGTTTAGGGCCAGCCTGGTCTACAGAGTGAATTCCAAGACGACCAGGGCTACACAAAGAAGCCCTGTCTTGAAAAACAAACAAAAGAAAAAGGTTAGCCAGTGGTTCAAGTCTGTGAAGCTGTCTATGGCGGTAGAGGGCGTCCCTGGACTGTCAGTGGCTTGCAGTTACATTGCATCATGTGAAACAGACGAAACAAATGAACTGTCTAACCCTTTAAAAACTGTGTTTAAGACCTTCTGTGTTCCAGCAACCAGTGATCTTCCTGGGCGCAGACGTCACTCACCCACCTGCTGGGGATGGGAAGAAGCCCTCCATCGCTGCTGTGAGTTCCCCAAACCAGTCTGCTGTATCTTAGTCCACACTAATAGCAATGCTTTGGTTTCCACATTTCAAAATTTGATATTTGATATTTTCTTTTTTATTAATTTTTTGGGTTAGCATACCAAGAATTCCTCCATTGCTTCTACATAACCTATATGCCAGTATTCTTGTTCTCGGTCACTTTCGTCCTTCGTTGCCCTCGGCAGTACCCCTCCCTTCTCTAGCTGGGCCCTGCATTCTCCCAGTTAGTGGCCTTGTGTATATGAAAATATATAAAATAGGATTTAAAATTTAGGTTCTGTGTATGAGAGAGAACTCATGTGGTCTCAGACTTTCTGAAACTCGCTTGTTTTACTTAACGTAATGATTTCCATTGTATCCATCTTCCTGAGCATCACAATTTAATTTTTCTTTATAGCTGCATAGAGGTCCATTGTGCGTACATGTACCACATTTTATTTTTAGTACATTTATTTATTTATTTATTTATTTATTTATTTATTTATCTATCTATCTATTGGGGACATCTGTGTGGGGGTCAGAAGTCAGAAGATAACTTGCAGAAGTTGGCTGTCCCCTTCCACCAAGTCTGACGATCTGAGTTCCATCCCTGGCGTCCACCCTAACCCAGATTACTGGCCCACATTTTCTGCTAGTAGACGTCTAAACTGTTGTGGTTTCCTAGCTGTTGTGAATACTGCAGCCATAAAGCTGGAAGCACAAGTATCTGTGTGGTCTGTGTAGCCTTTAAGTTCTTCAGTACTTTGAAAAACCCGTCAACTAATTTCACTTGTGGCTGCCCAAGTGTACATTCCCACCAAAGACGAGTAAGTTCCTCCTTTGGCACGTTCTAGCCAGCATTTGTTGTCATTTCTGTGTTGGTGGCAGCCATTCTGACTGGGTGAGACGGAATCACAGCGCTTTTTAGTCTCATTTCCCTTAAGGCTAAGGATATTGAACCCTTTCCAAGTTTGTTTATTGGTTATTTGTGTCCCTTCTTTATTATTGCATTTATTTGTGGGGAGAGGTATACATTCATGCTACGGCACACGTGGAGACAGAGGACGACTGAGGGGTTAATTCTCCTTCTACCAAGTGGATCCCAGAGATCCAATCCAGGCTGACGGGCTTGGCTGCCTGGCCTTCACCTGCTGAGCTCTCTCTGGCCCTGTGTTTCTTCTTTTCAGAAATGTCTGTTTACTTAGCCCATTCATTGCTTGGATGATTTGGGTTTTCTCTTTTAAGATTTCATTTTTATTTTATGTGCATAAGTGTTTTACCTGCATGTGTGTCTGTGCAGCACATGTGGGCAGTACCCGTGGAGGCTAGAGGGCACTGGATCCCCTCCAATTGAAATTGGAGTTAACAAACAATTGTGAGCCACCATGTGGGCGCTTGGAACTGAACCAGGTTCTTCTGCATGAGCAGCCAATGCTCTCAACCGCTGAGCCATCTCTCCAGCCCCTGATTTGTATTTTATTTTGGGGTGGGGGTTAGTGTTTAATCTTTGCAGTTCTTTAATGATTTCCTTATAATCAACTTTCATTATTGCCCTTTGGGTTTAAGAGTTTTGCCAATATTGATCATTCTGGTTTGGAGGTACAAGTTCCATATAAACACACCTATTAAATCTGTTAACTCCCTTAGTTCTCCTATAACCTTTGTAATTTGCCTGCTTGTTATTTCGATAACTATGCAACCTCTGCCTCTCCATATACACACACTCACATATAGGGGAAGCATGTACGTGTGTGCCCAAACACATGCAAAATGTGGATACACACATATGCACATTACACACCTGAAAATGGAGAAAGAAAAAATGCTGTCCAATTGCTTTTGACACTCTTCTAGGCTTTTCTCTTTGCTGAGAGTTGTCTGATTTTTGTTACTTTTGAAGTAAATTATGAGAAACAGTAAGACTAAAGTAAAATACAGATGTAAATGAAGATAGTCTAGTTTTGATTACTAATTTTTTTCTCACTTTTTCCAACCAGGTTGTAGGTAGCATGGACGCCCATCCAAGCAGATACTGTGCCACAGTAAGAGTTCAGAGACCTCGGCAGGAGATCATCCAGGACTTGGCCTCCATGGTCCGGGAACTGCTCATCCAGTTTTATAAGTCAACCCGATTCAAACCTACTCGCATTATCTTTTATCGGGATGGTGTTTCAGAAGGGCAGTTTAGACAGGTTGGTTGCCTAGAATATATTTAGACCATAAATAAACCAAATGCTATGTTTATGATGTGGTGTTCAGTTCTAAAGGTGAACACCTGAAATCAAAAGTTCACAAAATCAGAATTGATGCTTCTGTAGAGTTTCCTCTTTAAAATGTTCCTATGGAGCCAAGCAGTGGTGGCACACACCTTTAATCCCAGCACTCAGGAGGCAGAGACAGGCAGATGTTCGAGGCCAGCCTGGTCTACAGAGCAGGTTCCAGGACAGGCTCCAAAAGCTACACAGAGAAACCCTGTCTTGAAAAACAAAACAAAATGTTCCTGTAAATATGTGAGCCTTCACTGATCTGCTCATAGTTAAAGTGAAATGCAGAAGCATATTGAAGGAAGTGATGTTAAGAAAGCCTGAGACAGGGCTGGAGAGGCACCTTAGCGAGTAAGAGTGCTTGCTGCTCTTGCAGAGGACCAGAGTTGGGTTCCTAGCACCCACATCAGATGGCCTCAGGGGATCTGATGCCCTCTGTTAGCGTCCAGGGCACCTGTAGTCATGTGCATATACTCACACTCACACACAGTCATATGACTTAAAATATAATTGATCTAGCCAGGCAGTGATGGTGCACGCCTTTTATCCCAACCCTCCAGTGGCAAAGGCAGGTGGATCTGAGTTTGGAGCCAGCCTGGTCTACAGAATGAATTCCAGGATAGCCAGGATTACACAGAGAAACCTTGTCTTGAAAAAAACAAAAACTAAATGAATGAATGAAAGTTGATCTTTAAAAATAAGTCATGAAGTTACACCATTATCTTAAATAAGTAAAAGAAAATTAGCTATATTCACTCTTTCTGTTGTATCTTCTCTAGGTATTATACTATGAGCTACTAGCAATTCGAGAAGCCTGTATCAGTTTGGAGAAAGACTATCAACCTGGAATAACCTACATTGTAGTTCAGAAGAGACATCACACACGATTGTTTTGTGCTGACAGAACAGAAAGGGTAATTTTATGCCTGTCATAGTATTGTTACAAGCCATCAGGATCCTACATCTGTCCCTTCCTTTCCCTTTCTCTCTTTCCTCCCTGCCCCTTCTTCCCTCCCTCCTTTCCTATCTCTATCCCTTCTTCCTTCTTCCTTCCCCTCCTCCCTTTCTTTTTGTGGTGCTGGAAATCATACACAGAGCCTCATTATGCCAGGCTGTATACCCTGAGCTATATACCCAACCTGAGAACTTTAACTGATTTAATCTTCCCGAACTCTATTCAATTATTATTATGTATGATAGTATATATTATATATAATGTCTATTATTATTATCATCCCTATATTGCAAATAAAGAAGCCTGCTTGGACTATGTGAAACTGTCTCTGAAAACAATAATTGAAAAGAATAGAGATCTGAAATGATAGTTCGGGACTCTCATTGGCTGCTCTTAAAACTAACCTGGGTTCAATTCCCAGCACCCACATGGTAGCTCACAACCATTTGTAACTCCAGTCCCAGAGAACCGATACACATGTACATGTAAGCCAAACACCAATACACACAAAATAATAAAATAATTTTTAAAAAACTAGGAGGGAGATGGAGAGATGGCTCAGAGGTTAAGAGCACTAGCTAGCTGTTCTTCCAGAGGTCTTGAGTTCAACTCCCAACAACCACAGGTGGCTCAGAACCATCTGTAATGAGATCCGGTCCCCTTTTCTGACCTGCAGGGATACATACAGGCAGAACACTGTATACATAATAAATAAATAAATCTTTAAAAAACAAACTAGGAACTAAGACTATGTGAGGGCTGTAGTTAATAGATGCTTGAGTAATATTTCAGGCTGAAAGTAGTAGAATGTGGGTCAGTTTATGTATTTGAATGTTTTGAATGTACTTTGATACAGTTTTTAATTTTTTGTCTCATTGATTTAAAATTTGATCCAAAAACATCTAGGTTGGGAGAAGTGGCAACATCCCAGCTGGAACCACAGTTGACACCGACATCACGCACCCATATGAATTTGACTTCTATCTCTGTAGCCATGCTGGGATACAGGTAAGCCTGCTCGTAGGCCAAAGGTTTTCATTTAGAACTTCATTTCTCATGTGGTTTTTTCAGAACCTCAGCAAAAAGAGAAATAATACTCTGTCTACGTTCCTACTTATTTCCACATGTAACTTGTCGCAAGTCGATTTTTTCCTTTTCCTTCCTTTGAGAGGGAAATATTTTTATGAAAATAGCAGGATTAGCTTTAATAGAATGAGTCTCCCTACATTTGACCTTTAATTTAATGCAAAACTTAATAAAAGCTTACAGGGCTGGAGAGATGGCTCAGAGGTTAAGAGCAGTGGCTGCTCTTCCAGAGGTCCTGAGTTCAATTCCCAGCAACCACAAGATGGCTTACAGCTATCTGTAATGAGATCTGGTGCCCTCTTCTGGTGTGTAGGCATGAATACATTCTGCAGGCAGAATACTATATACATAATAAATGTTTTTTAATTAACTTATTTATATCAATTTTAATGTTACTATAGAAGATAGTATGTTTTGCTGTGGCATTTTCAGACCCATATGTCATTCTGCTCTGGATCCATTCCCCTCCCCCACCAGCCTTCCACTTCTTTTCCTTCTGGTGTCTCCCATGCCACCCCACCTTCATGTCACGTTATCTGTGACCCTCTCTTTCTCCCCATCCCTTGAGATCTCTTCCCCTTCTTGTTATCTGCTTTCTAGTCTTATGACCTACACATGCACACATGTGTAAATTACACATTTATGTATGTGTGTGGGTGTACACATACATAATTTTAAATCTCTGTTTCACATATAAAAGAAGATATCTGGTGTCATCTTTTTTAATCTGGTTTATTTTGCTTAACATAACGACTTCCAAAGTCATGATCTCATTTGCTTCATGACTGCATACAGTTCCACTGCTTGCTGCCATGGTGGCCCAAGTTTGTAATCTCAGCATTTAGGAGGTGAAGGCATGAGGGTCAGAAGTTCAAACCCAGTCTTGGCTATATAGGAGGTTTGAGACCAGCTCAAGCTTCATGAAATCCTGTCCCAAAAAACGTATGTACCACGTTTTCTCTATCTATGCATCTGTCCATGGACGTTTGGTCCAGACTCATTTCCTAGGTATGCTCACTGCAGCAAAAACATGAAATGTGTGAGTATCTGTGGAATATATTGGCTTAGCGTTCTTCAGGTATAATCCCAAGAGCGGTGTTGCTGGATTATATATTTCATATTATATATGTTAAATATTTTCTTCTGGCCAACAAACCTCTCCACCAACACAGATAATCCCAATCAAACCAAATTAAACTGAATTAAAAGATGCCCATGTTTAAAAGATAACAATACTCCCAGGTGGCCCTGGGAAAACATGGAGCGGGGAAGACAGAAAAGGGGAGACCATGAGTAACCCGGAGACCATGTGTTCATCCTCTGGGGGCAGTTTAAATAGCCTGTGGAAGTGGTCTTGGCCTTCCCCGGGGAGGGGTCACCATTTGGTACGCTTTCTCGGAGGTGGAGTTTGGACTGAGGCAACACCCAGGGGAGGGAGCTTATGCCAGGAGCTGGGGTGAAGCCCCGAGCCAAACATGAGTATTTTCAGTTCCATTTTCAGTGTTTTGAGAAACGTGTCTACTGATTTCCAGTGACTCACAGTTTAACCTTCCTCCCAACAATAAATACAGTTCCTCTTTCTACACATCTTACCAATATTTTTTGGTGCTAACCATTCTGATTGGGTGAGATGGAATCTCAGAGAACTTATTTTAATTTTCCTTAAGGATAAGGATGTTGAACACTTTTTCAGATTATTGGTATTTATATTTCTTCTTTTGAGACATGCCTATACAATACATTGGTCCAACTGGAGGTTATAGATTTTTTATCATTATTTATATATTCTAGATGTTAATCCACTCTTTGATGTGTGGTTGACAGATTTTTTTCTTCCATTCTATAGGCTCTGGGTTGCTGTTTAAATACCCTGTGAGAGTGGTCTTGACCCTCTCTGGGTAGTGTTCACTGTTTGGCAGCCTTTCTGGGGGTAGAGTCTGGACTGAGGCAGCTCCCAGGGGAGGGGGCTTGGGATGGAACTTCCACCCAAACATTCCAGACCCTTTGGATATATGGATGCCAGAGGGTGGAGTGATGCTTGAACCCAAACAGGTCCCACCAATCAAACTCAGGCAGTCAAGCTTGGTGACAAGCACCTTTACCCACTGAGCAATCTTGTCAGCCCCTTATTTTGTTTTTAAGAAATTCATGACTCAAAATAATAATACAATAAAAAAAATTAAGCTGGGCAAGATGATACATGCCTGTTAATAATAGTGTCTTCTGGGAACTAAACTAGTTTCAGTGGGTTGTGCATTTTAACCTAGTATACATTCAACCTGTATTACTACCTACCATGGTAGCTTTACAAAAACAACTTTAAAATGTATTTACTGCGTGTGGGCATAACTTCTGGAAATTGGGTCTCGCCTACCTTCACTAGTGTTCCAAGGGTTGAGCTCAGGTCACCAGGCTTTTGCACAAGAACCTTTACCCACTGAGCCATCTGCAGTCCCCACTGTAGCTCTTTAATAAGTATCACAGGGGGAAACAGAGATTCTCTGTTGATAAGGTGTAGAAATACTGGTTTAACAGGTTTTTTATTTTAGAACTTTGGGAGGCCATTGTTATGCAATTAGTCATGATGAGTCTTCGACCCAGAAGTACTTTTTTATCTGGAAACCTTTGGGACATCTGGAAAACTTCTGTTCTAGTTCACACTGACTAAACATTGTTGTTGTCGGTCTTTCCACGTCTCCCCAGTTTTATCAGGGTTTCGTTGTGTTTTGTTGATACTAGGGATTGCACAGAGGGTCTTCCACGTGTTAGACAAGTGCTCTACCGGCACTATTTTTACTTTTGTTTTCGTTTTGTGTTTTCAATACAGGGTTTCTCTGTGTAACAGCGCTGGCCATCCTGGAACTCACTTCGTAGAGCAGACTGGCCTTGAAATCAGAGAGATCCACCTGCCTCTGCCTCCCAAGTGCTGGGATTAAAGGCGAACACCACCATCACCTGGCTTTACTTTTTGATTTGAAGACAAAATCTCAGTAATTTGTCCAGGCTGGCCTTGAATTTGTTCTATCATCCATTTAGGCCTGTACCAGCAAGCCCAACTCAAGAATTTTCTAATTAATCTGAAATTTAAAAAAAAAAAAAGTCTGCAAGATGCTTTGGTAGGTAAAGGTCCTTGCCAATAAACTGAGTTTGATCCCTGACACCTATAGGGTAGAAGGAGAAAACTGACTCTCAGAAGTTGTCCTCTGACTTCAACATGCACTCACACTAATAAATGTAATTTAAATTTTTGTTGTTGCTGTTTTGTTTTGTTTTTCAAGACAGGGTTTCTCTGTATAGCCTTGACTGTCCTGGAACTCATTCTGTAGACCAGACTGGCCTCGAACTCACAGAGATCCACCTGCCTTTGCCTCCTGAGTGCTGGGATTAAAGGCATGCACCAACATACCTGGCGTAATTTAAAATTTTTTTATGAGGAGGCTAGAGAGGTGGCCTGATGGTTAAGAGCACTGATTGCTCTTCGGTAAGACCACAGTTCAATTCCCAGCATGAAAGCTCACAACTAATTGTGTGGTGCACAAACACACATACAAGCAAAACACTTACACATAAAATAAAAAATAAATCTAAAGAAAATGTTTAATAAATGTGAGTCTCAGTTCTTACTAGTTAAAACTGAAAACCCAACAGTTTCTAACTCTGTAACGTAAGCATTATAAAAGTTAAAAGTCAGGTGTGATGGTGCGCGCTCACACGCCTTGTACACAGAGGCTGATGCAGGGAGGATCATATCAATAAAATGGAGGCAGGGATATAGCTTAGTTCCGTGCTGACACATTCAAGACTTGGGTTTAATCCCTAGCATTGTGAAAAGAAAGGAAAGGGACAAATGACAAGACTTCCAAAAGATGAACTACAAATGCCCAATAATCATGACAAAAGCATTTAATCTCACTGGCCACCAGAAAAGTGCAAACTAAGCCTACGCTGAGATTCCATCTCACCCCAGTTAGAATGGCTGTCATTAAGAAAATAAATGGGCTGGAGATACCGTTCAGATGATAGACTATTTGCCTGGCATGTAGGAAGCACTAGGTTTAATCCCCAGCACCCCATAAGCCATGAGCCTGTGCATGTCTGTAACACCAACACTCTGGAAGTGGAGGCAGAAGGACAAGAAGTTCAGGGTCACCCTTGGCTACCTCGGGAGATCAAGGACAAGCGAGGGTGCTAAGACCTCGTGTGGGGCAGGCAGTGGGGAAGAGGGAGAGAGAGCACAGCAGCAGGTACCAGTGACAGAGACACAAAGGAGCTCTACACTGCTGCTTGTGGAAGTCAGTGTGTGGAGGAGCCTCAAAAACAGTAAAAATAGAACTACCACCCAGCTCTACCACTCCTGGGTATTTACCCACAGGACTCCAAATCAGTGTACCAGAGACACTTGGACACCAGTGTTTATTGCAGCTCTATTTACAATAGCTAGTTATGGACCTAACCTGGGTGTCCATCAACCGTGGAATGGAAAGAAAATCTGAAGTATATATTCACAATGGAAAATTTCTCAACCATAAAGAAGACGTTGTATTATTTACATGAAAATAGATGCAATTAAGTTTCAGAGAGAAAGCTATTGTATTCCTTTTTTCATCTGCAGGTCCTAGATTTTATAGGGAAGGTTATGAGTACTGGCTGCTCTTCTGGAGGACCTGGGTTCAGTTCCCAGCACCAGCTGTAACTCCAGTGGATCCAGGGCTTTCTTCAGCCCTCCACAATCACCCACCATGCAGGTGTGCACAGGCACACGAGCAGGCAAAACACCCATACACATAAGATCAAATGATAATAATAAAAAGCATTTAGGTTTTATATAGCTGTGTAAAGTCATGAATGTATATATGACATGAAAGTTAATATGTGAAACTGCCTAGGGGAGCAGTGGAGAGGAGTGGGGGACAGGTAAAACAGAGAAAGGGAAGGGGTACGAAGGTAGCATGTTCAAAGTTATATACTTGTCTAACAGTGTTCTTAATGAAACTAAGTACATAGACAACAAAAATACACCAATGAAAACTGTGTGTTATTATGTATGTGTGTGAGTGTTAATATGGCGGCAGGGTGTGCCTGCCATTGCACAGATGTGGAGGTCAGAAGACAGCTTTGTGGGTTCCGTTCTCTCCATCCACCTTCACGTAGGATCTAAGAGTCTAACTCAGGTCACCAGGCAGTGCAGCAAACCCTTAGCCAGCGAGCCATCTTGCCAGCTCACCAATGAAAAATCCTACAAAGAAGAAGTTTATCAATCCCCCAGAATGTACCCTTTCTTCCCCATAGGGAACCAGCCGCCCTTCACACTATCACGTCTTGTGGGATGACAACTGCTTCACCGCGGATGAACTCCAGCTGCTGACGTACCAGCTCTGTCACACCTACGTGCGCTGCACAAGATCCGTCTCTATCCCTGCACCAGCGTACTATGCTCACCTGGTGGCATTCAGAGCCAGATACCATCTTGTGGACAAGGAGCATGACAGGTAACGAAAGGCATAAAGAGTGGGGAGTCTCGAAGCAAATCAGAGTCTGATCACCTTAGGCTGTTTCTATAAGCACTTCCATGTATGTCTCTGTCAGTCTGCCTAAAGTCTTGCTGTTCAGAGCTCAAGTTCCACAGGCTGTCAGACAGCCAGTGCACTGCGTGAAAGGTGATGACAACTGATAGCCCCAAATAAGGTTTTCTACTAAAAATACTGTGTGGACTTCCTAATAATAGAATGACCTGGGGCTGGAGAAATGAATGGCTCAGCAGCTGGGAACAATGACTGTTCCCCTAGACCCTGGACCCGGGTTCAATTCCCAGCACCCACTGTCTGTTAGTCCATGGCACCAGGCATGTACATGATGCGTACACGCGTGCGTGTGCGTGTGCGTGTGTGTGTGCGTGTGTGTGTGTGTGCAAGCAAAATACCCATTCACACTAAAAATGAAATAAATCTTTAAAAAAAATAGAATCTTAGAAAAAAAAACTAGTAACTTAGTTGCTTCCCAAATTACCCAAGGAAGTTATTATTTGTAATATATGTATGAGTGTATATATAATATAATATATATTAGACAAAAATGATATGATATCTGGGATTTGTTTCTAATTAATCCTGAAAAATGAAAGAGCCAAAGTAAAATTTTCCATGTTGAAGATGTCTAAATGATAGACACACAATACATTATATCAGTTTCTCTTTTCAACTATTTTTGGAATTTTCTACAAAAGGTAGCATTCTTCAGAATTATTACATTAGGACAGAAGGTTTATGCTTGTGTTGTTCATTAACCCTTCTCTTCCAGTGCTGAAGGAAGCCACGTTTCAGGACAGAGCAATGGGCGAGATCCACAGGCTCTTGCTAAGGCTGTGCAGATTCACCAAGATACCTTACGCACAATGTACTTCGCTTAACAAGTCCGAGTGTGTTCTCTGAAAGGACGAGCTGAAAGACGAATCAACATACAATGTATATTTCAGTGGAGTCAGCTCACTGGGGATGCTCCAGCCATATAGAGGCCAACACTATATAGGGGTCTGGTCCTTTTGCTGGTCCAAGGAAAATTGTTTACTCTGTCAAGGAACACAGCACCATTATGCACTAGGAAACCAGCCAGCTGCTTTTCGGCAGTCTCCTGTAGGAAGCATCACGGTTGTTTATTTCCACTTCTTACGGTCTAACCCTTTTAATGCCTTTACCTCAAGTTGCTTGGCAGCACAACTATCTTTGCAAAAAAGTAAAGAAAAAGTGAATGATGGTTTAAGAACACACACCTACACAAGCAATGATTGTTCAGTTACATGTGCAGAAAAAGTAATGTGCATTTATCTATTCTTGTAAAGGAGTCTGTATTTTAAATACACACATGTATACTCATGTGCATATATATCCAGATCGAGACATATATGTATCTGTGTCTATATTTTATAGTTCATTCCGCTGGGGAGCTTTCTTTCCCTCGGATCCCTCCGTGTGCCACTGTCATTCCTTTCACTACCTACTTGCCTTCAGCATCTACACTTTTGTCCCTCCCGCTACAAATGACACTCATGTTCATATTTATGACCCATTTGAAGTAAAGCATGGCAAACTAGATTTCTGTTTTCGTTTACGTACCCCACTCCTAACTCCTATCTCTTACACGATTCTGAATCCTCGTCTCCTGAGGCCCTATTTGCCAGTGTCTGCTTCTTCTTGTCCTGGACTTAACCTTTGCCATGTGTGCACTGTGACTAGAAGCGGGGCCACCCGAGTATCCCTCTCTGCAGTGAGCGTGTTAAAGCTGCTATAAATGCGAACCCTTGTCAGAAGTCTTTCTGATCAGGGACAAATGTTCTGAAGCCTCTGTTTGTGTGAGTTATACCTGGAAATCCCTCAAGGCTTTTATAAAGGGGAAATATTTTAAAAGTCTGAAGCTCTATAGGACGGAAAGAAAAAAGGAATTAGGGTTTTGATTTATGCTAGTTCACTCACTACCCTCATACCTTAATGTGATTTTCCTATATACATTTTATATGTGTGTACGTGTATAGATAAACATACGTGTATGTTGAAGTATAGCTCCTTTTGCTTTTATACTCAATAGAATCGTGCTTTAATGATCATGAACTGCATTGGCTACACCTTTTATAGAAATGTAACCATGTTTAATAATAGACTAGTTTTTCTCTCTCTTAGTGCAATAATCAGTTTTAGAGGAAAGTTGTGTCTGTCGTCTTCACCACGGACAACAGGAACAGGCACCTCTGTCAGTTAAAAGGGGGCAAAGTAATACAGCCTTAATTTCAGAAGGAGAGCTTCATAATTTTCAGTTTTAAAGCACGTCCAGGAAGTAAAACGACTAAATGAGGCTCACCTGAGAGATGGAAACACAGTTGCACTTCAGCTGGAAAGAACAGCAGTGATGGCCAGGCAGCGGTGGTGCACGCCTTTAACCCCAGCACTCGGGAGACAGCCTGGTCTCCAGAGCAAATGCCAAGACAGCCATGACTATACAGAGAAACCCTGTCTCCAAAAACAAACAACAAAAGACAGTGAACACCTTAAGATTTAAAGATTTTTTTAATTATTTAAAATAGATCTTGATTGTTCAAGAATTGTGCTTCTTTGACCAAAAGAAATCAAGAAAATACTGGGTGGGGTTTGTTTTCCTGTCTTTTCACCAGTGTAACTTTCTCTTTCAAACTAAGATGACAATGACAAAGGAATTTAGGACTTTGACCATTTAAAGTTAGTTAAGTTTCTGAACATGGGGGAAATCTTTAAAAGCTTATTTTTCTCCACTTCTTAGTCAATAACTTTCGTTGGTCACTTTTAAGCTGCCAGCGCTGAGTTTCTCAGTAATGTAGGGTTCAGGGAACTTTGTACTCTGTAATTCATGAAAATTGCATCTGAATTTTCTCTGTTCTTATTAACACACTGGTTCGGGGACAGACACTACAGTTTGCTGTGGGCACTGTCCGCCTTTCAGGAACTCCATCTCCGTGTGGGAAGTGATGGACCTAGATCTTCATTTGCTCGCTGCCTCTAATCCACTGCTAGTGCCCATTTGCTGCATTTTGAGCCTGAACTCTGAGCCCATGTCCTCCCATAGGTATGAGGTCTTTTGTTCCCCTGACAGAAAACTAGGAAAGTACTATATTTTTTTTCCTTTCATTGCTTTGAAGGATCTAAGCTGCAATTCTCAATGCCATTTCAAAGCACTTTACAAAGGATATTTGTGTAACTTGTAAATTTTTTTCCCTTCCAAAACTTTCCCATCTCCTCCCTGGCCAAAGGAAAATTCCTTGAAACATGTTTGGGGTTGGTTTGTTCGCTTGCTTGCTTTGGAGACAAAGTCTCCCTATATTGCCATGCTGGCCTCCAGCACCTGGGCTCCAGCAGTCTTCTGGCCTCAGCCTCCCTGGTAGCTGGACCATAGGGTTCCTACTACCGTGTCTGGCTGTTTGGGAAGATGTGCAAGAGAAGAGAATAGTGCAGCCTCTGTCTGTGCAGTGTAAGTAAAACATCTTCCTCTGTCTGCGGCTTCTGCACATATTCATGTGAGGGACTTAGGGAGCAACATGGACACCCTGTCTTTTTCCTGACCTTGGATCTCATGTGTGCCAGAGTGAAGCCCTTACTTTAACTCTTATTTGGAAGGATTTTTTTTTAAGGGGCAAGATTTTTTTTCTAAAATATAAGGTTTTATCTTTTGAATGGTTTCTTTTTTAGAATGCTCTTACATTATTCAGTCTTGCTAGTTTAAGATAATTAACTTAGAAGAATATGTATAGTATATTTCTATTTTCCGTCGACTAAGAAATTGGTATACCAAACTCAATGCCAACAAACTTTGTGTTTAGAGTTTTAAGGTAAAAGGCTTATGGAAAATACTTCTTAAAATTTATAGTAATTATTTTTGCACTTCTGGATAGAATTCCTAATCGTTTTCTCAAGTTCCTTTTTTAGTTTAAACCTCATGGAAACCATAGTAACTTTTCGTTTCTGTCCCTCCTCTTGCTCACTAGCTCGTGAATGTTGGCCTGCGGGTTTTTATGGCATATCTCATAAGGCCGACCAAAACAAACGTCAGTCTAAACAACCGAATAATTGGTTTCCATGTGAGGAAGAGTTGGGAGCTTAATGTATGTTCTGGATGGCAAATGTGTCTCTGCAGTCAGTGTGCATGTTACATGATTCTGTATTGTAGTGTGTAAGCGCTGGTATTGAGACGTGTGTTAATGACTCTGTAGCTGCTATATTTGCTTAGGGAGAGGCGACATTGCTGCACTCACCAATAAGATGTGCCAGATGCCAGGCTAGCGTCCGACCCTTAGGATTTGTTAGGGAAGTTTAGGGACGTAAATTATGAAGGTGACAGCAGGTACTTGAAACAGCTCTAGCTCCAGTCTAGTAACAGAATACCTTTGCTTTAGAAATGTAGGTTTTGGGTTGTGGGTTTGTTTGGGTTTTTTTTGTTGTTGTTTTTTTTTTTGTTGTTGTTGTTATTTTTTTTTTTACATTGACAATTCACGGCTGGTACTTGAGTCTTCTCAGTCCTGAGCTTTGGCACATTTTCACAGAAATGTGGATACCTGTCATTTTATTACTACTTATCTTTTGACAAGTTTTTCAGAAAATAATATGATCTGGAAATATCCCTTCTCTACACATGAACTATTAATTTACTTTTCTTCCTGAAGAGAATCTAGAAGGGATCCCAGTAGGAGTGTCCTGTGTGTTTGGGATGGCTCTTGATAAAGATTTATCTCTACCTCTGACATAGAGACTCCCCCCTTCTATAGAGCCGTGCTAGCTTTCCGAGCCAGGCTCTCTGTGCTTCCCACAGCCTAATATTGACGTGCATGTTGCCCCGTGGATCTTAGGATGGCAGACTTGAAGTGTGTCTTGGGAAATAAGAGAGCAACTGCTGCTGAGTAGAAATGGCTCCAGACTCTCAGTTGGGCAGTGCAAGCACTTGGAGGCCAGCAACAGGCGTGAACCCCAGAGAGACATCTGCCTGAAGCACATGCTAGGGCTTTTCATGTGCTTAATTTTTTTTTTAATTTTTTTTTTTTTTTGGTTTTTCGAGACAGGGTTTCTCTGTGGCTTTGGAGCCTGTCCTGGAACTAGCTCTTGTAGACCAGGCTGGTCTCGAACTCACAGAGATCCGCCTGCCTCTGCCTCCCGAGTGCTGGGATTAAAGGCGTGCGCCACCATCGCCCGGCCTTCATGTGCTTAATTTTTATGAAATTCAAGGAGCTGGCCACTTGGACACTAGTAGAGTCGTTTGTTCTCTTTCTGTTTCAAACTTCGATAGTAATGTTTTGCCAAGAAGTTTAACTGATATCTCTGTATAATTTCCACTGGGTGTCATTAAACTGAGTTATACATTCAACTGAGCCGGGTGTAAGGTACACTTATAATTCCAGCCTTCAAGAGAATCAGGAGTCCACAGCCAACCTCAACTACACGAGACCATGTTGCAAAACAAGAGCAAAAAGTCCATTTATCTTATCCCTGTAGGTGTTCCTCTGTTGCAGAGAAAGGCTGCTCTTAATAGTTCCATGTAGTTCACTTACCTCTTATGAGATCAGTGAGTTTGTCAAAGACAGACAGTTCACTTGTCCAGTGTTCCTGACTCAACTGCTTTATGCATGTGAAGGGTTAGGCCTTTCCATCCTTCTGGGGAATTTGTAGGTATTTTTGAAGCTTTAATAAAAAAAAATAGACAGAGGGCTTTATATCACATGAGGTCATCCTGAGTGATGCTGTACCCTGACTTAGAGGGTCTTTGTAGTCCTACTTCCTCTCCACCTAACACATAAGCATTTCTGTGGTTCTAGAAGAGCCAAGAGCTGAGGGGCTGGAGAGATGGCTCAGCGATTAAGAACACTGACTGCTTCAGTTCCCAGCACCCACCTGTCTGTGAGTCCATTCCAGGAGATCCAGCATGCTCACACAGACATTCATGCAAGCAAACCATCAGGGCATATGAAATAAAAATAATTATTTTTTAAAAAGAGTTGAAAAATTAAGCCATGAATAAGTTTGTAAAAGTCGATACAGAGGGCAGGAGATGGCTCAGCAGGGAAAGACACTCACCACCAAGTCTGAAAACCTGAGTTCACTCCTTGGGACCCAAACAGTGGAAAGAGAACCAACTCCTATGAATTGTCCTCTGACCTCCATACACATGCCATGGCGCCACTCATGTGGGCTCAAGTACGTGCACGCGTGCGCGCACATAAATGTAACTTTTTTTTTGATTTTTCGAAACAGGATTTCTCTGTGTAATAGCCCTGACTGTCCTGGAACTTGCTCTGTAGAACAGGCTAGCCTCAAACTCATAGAGATCTGCCTGCCTCTGCCTCCCGTGTGATATGGGATGTCCTTCTGTGTATGTATCGCTTTTATTGGTTGACAAATAAAGTCAATGGTAGGATAAAAGGGTAGATTACTGAATCTACTGATAATAAAAGCAGCACACACACAGAAGGACATCCCACGCCACTCGAGTGCCGGGACTAAAGGCGTTGAGTGACCCTCACACCCAGAGGCTGAGGCCAGAGGGTCTTGAGTTCAAGACCACCATGGGCTATACATACAATTTGAGGCCAGCCTAGGCTACATAGCAATACTCTGTCTCCAAATTTTTGGTTTGGGCAAACCCAAAAGAGAAGAACAAGACAAAAGAAATTACAGGGGCTGGAGGGATGGTTCAGTGGTTAAGAGCACTGACTTCTTTTCCAGAGGGCCCGGGGTTTAATTCCCAGCACCCATGTGGCAGCTCACAACTGTCTGTAACTCCAGGATCCACCACCGGCACACAGATATATATATATACAAAACCACCAATAAAATTTAAAAAAAAGAAATCAAAAAGAGAATTGTTTCTAAAAAAAAAATCTATGATGATAGATATGATGCTGTGATTAATTAAACCCAAGTTGGGTTCCAGAGGGAAGAAGGTGACCTATATATAAATAAAATATATTTACAAAAGGAAAAAATACTTCTACTTTTTTCACAGTTCTAAAAATGTTACATTTAAGTTTATAATTTTCCCTGTAAGTCAGCAGTTTTTAAACGGACAAGGATTCTGTTGATTATCCATGGCCAGTTGAAATTTACCTCACACACAAAAGGAGTGCCCTAGAGTTTTATAAAATTAAATCTTAAGAGTCTTTTGTTTTTAAAACATGGAAATTAATGACTTTAACTTGAATAAAAGGATGGTAAACTTCAGGATGGAGGGTTGGATTACCAGTACGAGACCCTGTGAAGTTACAGGTGACAAACACTAGGACAAAACTAGGAGCTTCTCAAATCATCCGGCCAGCCAGTAAGCTCCCTCTCTTTTTGAAATCAATGTCTAAGGTCACCAGAATCTCTTATTGTTCTATATTAGGGTCTCAATAAAGAGATTTTTTTAGGGCAGACACTGAATGGTTTGTAAATTATTTTCTAAATCAAGGCGGTTTTGAGAAATTGCCTTTTCTGAAGATGGTGCTGTAGATTTTTATTTTTTAAATAGCATAAAGCAAAAATTTTTTAAGATAATTTAGAATACCACAAGTATGACAGTTTCATATAAATAATGTTACTTGTTGTCGTGAATTTGGTCTAGAGATCCAAGGGGCTTTTATGTAGTAACATGTCTAAGTTAATGCTCACCAAATTGATTTTGTAATTTTGAAAATATAATTTTTAATTCTCAGCTGTTTGAAGTAATCTACAATGTATATGAGATAGCAGGTACAGTAATAAGTGCCCCAAGGCAAAGGGATTGTGCCAGGAACTGCATATTCAGAGCTACTTTTCCTGTACAGTTACCCCTGACCCGACCTTTTTTATGTAAGAGAGAAAGCAAAATGATTACAGCCCAGTCTTTAGGGAAATTCTGTTTTTAGGCAGTAGTGCCGGTTTTAGATGACCCCTGTCTTTCCAGGGTGGGAGGACTGGAGACCGGCTGGAAGAGAACCAGGCCGGTTATTTAATAACAGACCGTGGTCTAAGGGTTTGTAACTCCTTGGTAGAGCACATGCTTAGTTAGCATATGCAAAGCCCTGACTTCAACCCTAGCACTAGGGGAAGAGGAAAAATGCAGATTTGGACTGTGGTAGGGGATAAGCAGAGTGAGACCCATTTGTGTTAGAAGACAGCTTGTCCTGATACCATGACTCAGTAAACAACAAAAATGGTCAGCTTTCAGCACTCGGGAGGCAGAGGCAGGCGGATCTCTGGGAGTTCGCGGCCAGCCTGGTCTACAAGAGCTAGTTCCTGGACAGGCACCAAAGCTCCAGAGAAACCCTGTCTCGAAAAACCAAAAAAACAAACAAACAAACAAAAAAAAAAAACCGGTCAGCTTAACCAGTTCCTGCGTGTGAGCTTAGTGAGCGTCCCTGCAGAAGATCCCTAGACTGGGACAGAAACAGCACACCTCAGCAACCCTGTGCTGCCGCATTACGTCATGATGGCAGTAGAATTACACTGGCCCTCTGCTGTGTACTTTGTCCCTTTGCACGTCGAACGTTCTCATTTTTCTAATGTCTTAATAGCAACTATTAGCTTATTTTTAAGGTTAATTTTTCTATCATGATGTTCATATTTGTTGGCAATCTATGTGCAACTTTTGTATTTTGCCCTAGATGTTGGATCTTATTTTTATAGATATTTCTAGCTTTTCTCTTTCTTTGTAAAATTAGCAGAAATTAAGATGGTGTGTTAATATATAAACCAAACTACTAATTCTATGGAGTTTGAATTTTTACCAATAAACCATTAATGCTATTTTCTAATTTAGAATATTTGATATTTTATATACTGGGCATTAAAGACAGTTTTTAGGTGGCTTCCTACGTGTAGATAGGAGGGGCTTCTCTGCAGGTTAGGTTTTCTTTTCTCCTTCACTTGGAGCAGACAAACACTAACAAACTGGACCGGTAGAGTTCTTTTTTAGCTTGAGGCTCATTGCTCGAGACTGTGATTCCTTTTTATAGTCAGGAAGACAAATAGAAAAAGATAGACAAGTCATTGACAATTGACTTTGAAATGAGATTTTCCTTCCTGTAATTATTTGGAAGATTTGCTACCCTGAACTTTCCTAGAATAGTTTAAAGTTGACTCAACCCTGAGTATCAGTAAAGAAAAAGAGTGTAGGTATCTGCAAAGGGCAGGGACTGAATAATAGAGTATGTCAGCTAACTGCAGTTTTCCTAAGTAAGCCAGGAGTGGTGGTGCATGGCTTTCATTGCAGTACCTGAGAGGCAGAGACAGGCAGATCTCTGTAAATTCCAGGCCAGCCAGGGCTACACAGTGAGATCTTGTTTCCAAAAAAAAAAAAAAAAAAAAATCAGCAACAGAATCTTAACTGAGCAGTAACATGAACTAACTGGAAAGCAGTGAAAAGTATGACTATAGAATATTAATTTCAAGTGTGTGTGTGTGTGTGTGTGTGTGTGTGTGTGTAAAATCACTGCAGTTTTGGGGGTTTTTTGTTTTGTTTTGTTTTGTCTTTGTTGTTGTTTTTGGTTTTTTGAGACAGGCTTTCTCTGTGGCTTTGGAGCCTGTCCTGGAACTAGCTCTTGTAGATCAGGCTGGCCTCGAACTCACAGAGATCCCCCTGCCTCTGCCTCCCGAGTGCTGGGATTAAACACTCGGCTTCAAAGCAGTTTTTAGTGGATCAATATAATATTGACATATAATTCCTTTAAACATAAGTATGTGAGAAAAATGTGTTCCCTCAAGAAGGTAAAATATTTCCATTTTATTTTTACACTCTGAATTTGCTTGATAAGGAATTTTTCTTTCCTGGGAGAAATTGAAAGGCAGCTTCCATCCCTTCTTGAATTTTTCAGTGTCACATTGTTGAGGCTGAATGCATTTTGCGTCTCTCACTGTGTCCTGCTCTTCCAGGGAGAGGGAGGAAAATGGGAAGATGTTTTTATGACATGTAAAAACTTACACTGTAAACTGAGTCGGCATGTGATTCCATGTGGACGTTAGCCAAATCATCTCTCTGCGTTTTTCTGTTACATACTTTGCTGTATAATGTAGCTTCTGGATGCCTCCCTTCACCCCC